CACACTCTACCATCCTTTTCAAATACAACGGAATGAAAGTGTATACCATCTCAAATGGTATGCTCCAATTATTCAGATTAGAATTAAAGAAAATAGGTGGTCTTGATTGCATGTAGTATTTTATTTATTTTTTTAACGGGTTCAACTGACATGAAACTTTGAAGGTGTGCTCAATAGGTACAACTAAAAAATATTTAAACATTTAAGAAAATGAATTGACCAAAATACTTATAAATGTTTGAAGGGCTATTTTTTAAGCACACCTCTAAATGTTTGAGGGGCTATTTTTTAAGCACACCTAATCAAGAAGTGTGAACAAACAAAAAAAAGTTAACTCCATTTGTAAAATAATAAAACTAAATTAATACAAGCAATCATGGTCATCTATTTTCTTCCCTTCTTATATGAATTGCTGAAAGGTGCTTGTGCAAATATTTGTAAACCCATATCAAATACGGCGTTTTGTGAACATTTCCATTCCTAGCCTGGAATTACAGGGACAAAACAAAATCAGAAAAATAAGAAAGTTGAACTTTTTTTTTAAAAAAAAAAAAAGGCTGGGGGGTGGGAGGTGAAAGGAAACGTCAGATGAAGAAGCTTTAGCCATTGAACCACATTCTTTTCACAAGTCCACAAAACTAGAGCTCCAGTAATAGAAGTGATAGCTGGGTAATTGAACTAATAGCTAATTATGCATGTGTTACTCTCTAAGGCTATGGCTCTACATAGGGAAGCAAGAACCAAAAACAGGTAATTGGCTACATCATGTCACACTTTCAGGTATATATTGATGGGCAGAAACATTAAAGCTCTCATGGAAGAGATAATGTGGCATTTTTTTTTGGATGGATCTTCATAAATCGTTCATTTCACTGCAGCATCCAAGTCCCTTAACTATGTGTCTGCATTGGAACCTGCAACATAAGATCAAATATAAACATAGCAAGGCCTTCAAAACACCATCCACAATCCCAAATTATAAGAGAGATAAAGCAGGCAGCAGGGAACTAAAAATATACAAAGAAAGAATCATTAGTCTTATCAGCATAGAATCTACTGCCTTTATCTGAGATTTGCAGCACAACCCAGCTTTCTCAAATACAGCTACTACGCAATGGTAAATGCAATTTAATATCAACTTCTTTTTAGGTAAGCACAGAAAACCCATCAATCCAGTTATTTCAATGATAATTCTCCTCAAAGTCAAAGGAGAGGAAAAGTATTCATTGCAATGGGGTGGCCATCCTGGCCTCTATGAATCCAAAACACAACATTCCCAACTTTCGATTTAAAAATGCAGTTTCTAGAGGTAACATCTGAAATAACTATCAGGCACATATTGTCAACAACATAGGCTCGTGGTCATGGATGTCTGCATAAAGACATGGAGGAGAAAGGGTGAAAGTAATCGGTGTCCAAGAACTAGGTGGTGGAATTTAAAAAATGAGGAAATCGACTTATTTATGGATAAATTAGTTGAAGGAAAATGGAACTTTGAACATGATATCAATGTAATATGGAATGAGATGGCTAAATTTATCAAAAGAAGTTTTACGAGAATCTAAAAGGTAAAAAAATTTCGATAAGGAAACTTGGTGGTGGAATGCTGAGGTTCAGAAGGCGATTAGCGAAAAACAAACATGTTATAAAACTTAGCAGTATAATAGAAACGATCAAAACTTAGAAGGTGCTGAGAACAATGAAAATGCCAGAGGAATGGAGAATAAGTATTATGGTACCTATTTACAAGAACAAAGGAGACATAGAATTGTGCAAACTATTGAGGGTTCAAACTTATGAGCCATACTATGAAGCTCTGAGAAAGAGCCATTGAGCAACGACTAAGGCATGAAACGAGAATATCTGAAAACTAATTTGGTTTTATGCCAGGAAGGTCAACAACTGAGGCTATTTTCCTACTTTGGTAACTGAATGAGAAGTTTGGGGCAAAGGGTAAAGATCTCCACATGGTTTTTATTGATCTAGAGAAAGTTTATGATAGAATACCTCGAGATTTGATTTGACTGGTGTTGCCATGTTGGAAAAGAAAGGCGTCTCTAGACACTACATCGACTTGTGAGAGATATGTATGATGGAGCAACCACTAGTGTATGAACAACTAGTGGAGAGACAAGTGAGTTTTCAATGATAATAAGTCTACATCAAGGGTCAGCATTGACCTTATACCTCTTTGTCTTAGTTATGAACGACTTAACTAAGTACCTACAGGATGAGGTACCTTGGTGCATGCTGTTCGCAGATAACATAGTTTTGATTGATGAGACTCAAAATGGCGTCAACACAAAGTTAGAACTTTGGAGGGATGCTCTCGAATCCAAAGATTTTAAAATTAGTCGGACTAAGGTAGAGTATATAGAGTGCAAATTTAGTAATAATAGGAGTATAGATGAGGAAATAGTTAATATTGACGGCCAGGAAGTACAAAAAAGAACGCACTTTCGATATCTTGGGTCGATAATCCAGGAAAATAGAGAGATCGAGATATATGTCACACACAAAATTAGAGTTGGGTGGGCGAAGTAGAGATGTGCAACTAGAATTTTATGTAATCGCCGCATACCAATGAGGTTGAAGGGCAAGTTCTATAGGACATCGGTGAGACCAGCTTTGCTCTATGGGACGGAATGTTGGGTGAACAAAAAACAATATACCCATAGAATAAATGTAGCGGAGATGAGGATGTTGAGATAGATAAGTGGCAAGACAAGAAGGGATAGAATTTACAATGAATTTATTCGAGAGAATTTATGTGTGGCACTAATAGGCGATAAAATGAGAAAAAGTTAACTTAGGTGGGCTGATCATGCGTGGCGCCGACCAAGTACAACACCTATTAGGACGTGCGAATTAGTTTAAGTAGAAGGACTGAAAAAAGCAAGGGGTAGGCCCAAAAGGACGTGGTTGGAAGTAGTCTAAAAAGATATGAGCACTTATGGCCTCACTGAAGATATGGCCTCTAATAAAGTAGAATGGAGAACGAGGATTCATGTAGCCGACCCTAATTAATTGGGAAAAGGCTAAAATGATGATGTTAATGATGATGATGATATTGTCAACAACAACTTACCAAATCATATCATTGGAAGAGCAATCAACAGTTTCAGGGAATCCTTTAGAATTATCCGTCTGGAACTTGATATGCAATCTGAAAGGTTGTATCTGTGTAAGGTAGACAACAGTTCATGAGGCAGAGAATATTTTGCTAAAAGAGCAGAAGGTGTGACAATATACATCATAAACATGTAAAAAGGAAATCAAATGAAAATATGACTAGGAAATGATGGCTCACGGAGACAACTGAGGTACTTGCACTAGAAATTCATCATACCTTTCTGCTGTACCTAAATTCACGCTTGGGAAGAAAATGCAGTGGAAGATTGAATGTACAGGGAGCTTTAATCAGGACAAACAGCTTAGCAGGACCTAAAAGAAGCAACAAAAATCTTAGCAGGAAGATACTTCCTAGGTTAGTATTAATAACCAAACCAGAAAATAAAAAATAATGCTAAAAAGATGTTTGTTTGAAGAACCTGAAAAGGAATCACCACCAGCATCTTTTGAAATCAATGCTCGGATAACCTAGAAGGATATAACAAAAGAAGTATAAATCATGGCATAACTCTCGAAAATGAAAACATGCCAATGCAAACCATTTCTTAACAATGATAAAGTCAAAATTTTACAGAAATATGAAGAAAGGAACCTTTCTAGAAAGGGCTTCTGCGCTTCCATTATTGGTAAGACTCGTGCAGTCCTTGGGACATTGAGAAAATTCTCCATCATGTGAAAAAGAAACCTCATAAACATGTAAAGGCCGTACAAGACTACCTCCAAGAACCAAAAGAAATCCGCCAACTTGAGGAATTTCATTGACCATCATCTCAACTGCAGAGATTACACTGGAAACAGAATTCATCAATTTCTCAAGTTGCTTTATCCCATGTTTCACCTCCCTTAGTCTCCCAAGGTTCTTTCTCTGGGAAGATGCCCTTGATTCCTTTTGCTTTGCAATCAATTCCTCCTACATGTGTAGCATTTCCTCAGGCTATGGAAAATCAAAAGATCACCCCATAATATTCCGTTAAAAGAAAAAAGTTGTCAGTGTGCAACGGGCATACCAAAGATATGCATTCCGATGTTAATGCAGTAAACTCCAGTTCTAAATGTTGCAAGATACTGCAAAAGGACAGTGATTTTAGTTAGCATCTGGCCACAAGAAATTCCAAACTGGAGGAAGCACTGCAATTCTTTGTAACAGAATGTTTAAATTGCACCTTTTTTTAGGCAGAGAGACTTCTACATCTGATTTTTTTTCTTTTTTTATAGAAGGAAAAAAGTAGGCTATATCAAACACACATAGACAGACACAAAATGTATGTACTGTGTGTGGTACATTAACAATTATTTGTATTTTCCATTAAAAAGAAATAATGCAGTAGTATAGGATGAATCTACCAGTCGCCACCATCACAGCAACTCACATGCCCATGAGCTAATCCATTGAGAGAATCATAGGAATGGGTGGAGATTGAATGCCAGAAGAGGTGGCCTTAACATCATCATTCAGTGAAGCGAAACATGAATGGCTCAGAGAAGGCAGCCGTATATGACTCTGTATAAACAGATGCGTCCACCCCAATCATCAAGGTAGATCTCCACAGAACCATCATGGCTGGGGGCGGACCTACCCCATATCTATCTTTCTATTTTTATTGAGTAAGGATGTGCAAACTGCAACTAACCTATTTCTTTAATTGAACAAGATTTCCCAAGGGAACCCAATATATCAGGAGAAGGAAGAGACACATTTTTGAGGTAAACTTGCATGAATGTCATGGATGCGAAGGCTTTGCACCCAACCACCATAAAAAGACACCACTACAATTGGAGAGTTCTTGTTCCGTTGAGTTTACATCTGTTCAATATGGCCCAACCCCAAATTGCATAAGAGTGAGATTTTCCCCAAGTATATGGAGGCCCCATAATCACATGTTTTTATGCTTGTAAGGAATCCTCTCAGGTGGGTTTCACCTTAAATAGAGAATTTCAAACAGATTGTTAGAAAAAAGTATTGATTCATACCACAGGGAAAAAACAATAAAAAAAAAATGTCAGAGACATCCTAGTCTCATTGGAATTCACACACACAAGTGATTTTGTTTTTTTGTAAGTTGTGATGTATTTCCCTAATCCTAGGAGAAATTGACAAAGTCTGAATCCCCAATCCAAGCCCGAACACTTGTAGTAGCAATTAAATGACATATCCATCAACTAAGCAACAGAAAGTGCAATTTTTTATTTTTTTTAAAAAAAGAAAAAAAGTAAGCAGGCAGAAAAGGGATAGCGAGAGTGCGTAAGAAAGCAATATGATTTCCTATGGTAACTGGAGTTGAGGAAGGTTATGTAGACAGCAGTAGCGATGCACGCGAATGGAACATCCACAAAACCAAACAACATAAACCGCGAGCGAAAGCAAAAGTAAACTAAGTAACTAGGAGATTACTGTTGTTGAGCCCTAAAAGCAGAGGAAAACATGGGTGAGAGATAGATATGTACGAAGGGATCTGATGGTGCATGTAGAGAGTGAAGCCGAGGGTCTCCTTTATGAGGTGGAGAAGAATGCTGCTCGAAGAAGGAGAAGACGAAGAAGCCTCCACCACACGGGAGGAGGAACCATCCTCCATTCTCTCTCAGATGAGATGAGGGGGGAAAAGGGACTCAAATTCATTCAAATCCGTGTGGTGGAGGAACCATCCTCCATTCTCTCTCAGATGAGATGAGATGAGATGAGATGAGGGGGGAAAAGGGACTCAAATTCATTCAAATCCCATTTCCTGTTGCTTCCCTGTCCCAAGTTTCACCCGCCCCGCTGAGATGTGTCTTACAATGTTTGAATTAACAAAAATAATAATAATATTTACGAGCTTGAGCCAATGATGTCTCCGGAAATAATTCCGTACTGACTTCAGATTTTTTTTATTTTTTATTTTGACTTTAATATAAATAAATTAAATATTTATATATATAAAAAAAAATTTCACAAATAAAATTTCAAAAAATTAAAATATACTTTTATATATTCTAACAGAAAAGTTAACTCAAAAGCCCCTCAAAAACGTACTTCCGTACTGGACAAACCTCAAACTAATTATCTTGCCCTCATCAACCATAAATAAGTAAAAAAATATTTTAGGCTATAAATTGTAAAATTAACGCGCCTTGCAACAAATTACTTTTTAGTATTTATTTTCAAATTATTTATAGATCTATGAGACCTACGTCACTTTAGAGCTTTCAATTTCATAACCACATGCAAAAATAATTTTCAAGCTATCATAAAGATCCTCAATGTGGAAACTATATTTTTCTATAGGGTTTCGAGGTGGAACTTTACTTTTTAACACCAAGTGTAGGCTGTAAGATAACGGCACCTTGTTAACAAATGGGTAAGCTTTTTATGCATCTTGATGTGAGAGATGATACAACATAATTACAAACAATTGTCACTAATCATTTGTATTATTGCTTACTCACTTCCAATCAGTGATGTAAAAATTAAATTGCCCACCAAGCTTGTTAGGAAAATTATCCAGTCAAAACCAATTTGACTATTGGTCGAATTGATTGGGCTAAATTTTTAAAATATAAAAATAATATCATAAAGGGTGTGGTTTGGATAAGATTGCAACCTTAAACAATCAAATTAAGATGGACCTCCAAACTGTGTCAAGAGATGCAATTTTGGTATTAAAATTTTTTAGAATGATGCGATAATCTATTTTTATCTCCAATTATAAAATTTTAAACTCTAAAAATAGTTCAAATCAAACAATCTACAAACACATGAAAATCTTGAAATTGAACTTACCAGATAATGTGGGCTAAGATGTATTGTAGATAGAACTGGAAATCTCCTTTTTATCCACATCTATACATCTCGAGATGATCAATCAGTAGTTTTTCCAACATCAAAACAACATTTTTTAAAGGATTTTAGAGGTGTGCCTTAATTATACATTTTAAGGTGCCAATCTTATATATAAAAATATGTACATATATTTTAAAAATGTAAATCCTATTTGCAAAAGAGTTGTCCAAAAATAGCCAGTCAAACTGGCCTGAACCGATAGTATTTCGCCAAATTCAAATTTTGCAGGCCAATAAACTACTCCACAGCCCACCTAGTTGGACTGCCAAGAAAACTATCCATGGTCCAACCAATTGGACCGGCCAATGATAGCAATGCTACCAACCATGATCAAATATTGACACGTATAAAAGTTTCCCTATAATATAAATCATGTGGGTTAAGGCACACATAAAGATTCCCTTTTTAATAGCCAAAAAATAAAGAGTTCCATGCAAGTCGTCTAACCCACCAATCCATAATCATAAATTGCAGTTGAATGGCTGAGAACCAAGTAGCTAAAGTCATGGTCCAAGGAAATATATACTAATTGTGCTGGGGGACAGAAAAAAGAGAGAATAAAAGACTCTTCGGTCATTATGTTATCCTTAGAGAGAATCTTTAGTCATTTAATGGCAACGCTCATCCAATGCATTGACCATGTTGAAACAAAAGAGAAAGGTAGAAACCGTTGAGCAGATAGTTTTGGATAGTCAAGGGGCTGGAGGCATGTCAAGAGATACTAGAAGCGCTACTTCTTCTATGGGATTTGATTTGATACATGCCCTACACTCCACTACCAATATGATTGGGCTCATTCAGCCTCAAATCAGCATAGATTTATCACAAAATTGAGCAGCAACCGACAAAATAATATCGTGTACATGTTCGTGTGCTTTAAATCAATCTTAGATAAAAGGGACCAACTTCAAGATTGAAAGGGTGACCAAAGTATGTAAGCAGTTTGGAATAAGGGGAATGGTCATAGTGAAGACAAACAAATCCCGAATCACAATCATTGGGAAGGTCACCAAGGAGAAGACAGCAATCAGTATATGATGTCATACGCTTGGATGGAGGAAGTTTTCCTAGTTTGAGATTCAGGTACGCTTACTCAAAGTCATCATCCATCAGAATTCAGAAGCCCGCCTAGCCTCTGCCTCAACGCCCTTGATGAACTTAAAAACATTTTATTGATCTAAAACTTTGAGATTTAATTCAGAATCACGAGAAATGGCCATTATCATATTCTGGAACTCTTTGCAATCCCCACCTTATCCACACTAATTTGGTTCTAATTTCCAGTGAAAGAGAAAATGTCCTTAGGATTTTAGAGCAATTGAGATTCAATGTGTACCCTTAAGTCTCACATTTTTAAAACAAGAAAGTGAAAATATTGAAAAAAAACAGGGGGAGAACGATCCACTGAATCCCTGTCCTGCTCTTACGCCCAGGCCCAGCATAGGCAATCCCCAAGTCCCCCCGGAAAAACAGTGGCAAACCGAGTTAGCAGTAGGCAAAGGCAGAGATCAAGTTCCTACATGTTTTCTGCAGGACCGAATCTCAGCTCTTTTTGCCTTAATTTCATGTAACACGTTATTCTTTAACCTTTGCAATTAATTTATGCTATTCCAATTTTTCTTTTCCTTCATTTAGTTTTCCCATTGCCATTTACTCATTGCTTTAATCTTTTGTTTCAACTTTTGCTAAATGTGCTGGAATACATGCATTGAATCAAAAAGCAAATGGCTGGGAAGAGTTAAGAGCTGCATTACGAAAGTTACATCAAAAAGGAAAAAACAAGAAGGGTAAAAGAATGATGTAGTTTTTTTTTATCAAAGATGGAATAATGGTACAACATTTAGGGGGGCAGTTAAGATATACAGACGAGACAATGCATCAACTGCCCCGTTAAAAGAAGACATGCCAAGCATTGCCCATTACACCCACCTGCTTGCTTGGTCATCCATGGCTCTTTTGATGTGACCATTTCACAGGCAGCACCCCAAAACCTCCAAACTCTTCCATCGGCCATCGGCCAAATCTTCTGTGGAGGTAATGGAAGCACTGAGACCGGCAATACATGCAAAGGGCCTCAACTAATCATCAGGGAGCTTCTCTCTCTCTGGCCCCATCTTCTTTGTTTCCTCCAATGATAAGGCCCACCTTGGGTTACACTTAGGCAGGGCACTGTACCATGCCACTCCCCAATTGATGAATGATAGCCAACACCAACACAATTTTGCTTAACCGTGTGAAAGAGGTTTGATGACTTGGTGCAGGCAAAACAGAGTTTTCATCTGAGAAGGTGGTGGAACTAGTATGTTTCAACCGATCAAAGACAATCTGACTCCTCTCAACAGCAGATATTTGCTTAACCAAGTGGCAGAGGTTGATCACTTGGTGCAGGTAAAACTGAGTTTTCATCAGAGAAAGTAGTGCAAGCACTAGGGTTCAACCGATCAAATATAATCCGACCTCCTCTCCCTATCCTTGCTCGGAGGCGATATGGTCGTGCCGCCAAAGCCTTGTTAATGGGAGGATCTGGAGGCTTTCTAATTCCAGCAGCAGCTAGTCTCTCTGGATCTACTGGTTTGGTAAAAAGAAGCAATGGTTCAAGTGGATCCTGCATGCCACATTTCTTTATGGATTCAGCACATTTCTTTATGGATTCAGCATGTCATGGGAATAAAGGTGTATACGAGTATTTTTGCATGGCATGCATCTTTACAGATGGTTAAACATAAAGTTAATCAGTTTTTTTGAAAAATAAAAATAAAAATTGTTAAGTGGCCCATAGTGATCTGCATAAGCGTCAACAAATAATGAACAAGAAAATATTAGGGCTCCAAGATTTTTCGTCTTGTTCAGAAACAAATATACACCATACCTCCTTTTTGAAAAATCCTTGGGGTGGAGGACGCCTTCTCGGCTCTCGCTTCATCAGCATTGAGTCCGTGATGGGTGGTTTAGTTCCTAAACCAAAACGGTTGTGGGTGTAACCATTTGTCAAATCCTTGGAATCAATGAAATAGTCATCATTTGATGCACTTCTTTGAGAGAAAGATGGGAAGCCAGATAAAGCTAGTCCATTCTCGAAGAGCCGTGTTTCATGCTGAAAACACACACAAATCTCTTAGTAGATGCCTACAACTCAGCCCCCATATGAGCTCCTAAATAACTACTGCATGTAAGGCTTAGAGTCTCAAGAATCTCAGTATGAAATGCTCTTTACAACTTTGTGAATCAAGAAGCAGTTAAATATGGGTTTTAGTCCTCAAAACCCAACAAAATACAGATGTCAGCAAATAAATAAGAACAGCACCTAAAAGAACAATTGCTAAACCCCAACTTCAAATAAAGTGATGAAAAAGACAACTGATGATAACTTTCCAAGAATCTTTGCTTCTATGAGAAAAGACCTTGATGCATTAGAAGAGAAACAGGTACAGCCTCTAAGCTATTATTAAACTTCTTCTAGTTCTAGGAGTATTTAAAGCAATGGACAAGTAGAGTCCAAAGCCTTTAAAAAGAAATATAGTCCAAATCCTTAAAAAGAAAAGAAAATATATATATCATGAGTATGCATTCACGACAGTTTTCAATTATAACATGCAACACCAATTACAGAAGTGATCTATGTTCTGCTGCTTTATTTCACATTCAAACTACAATGAGCTCAAATTCAACTTGAATAGTTTAACGGTCAATAGAAGTAGTTATCACAGTGAGTGGTGTTCGATGTCACAATCCAAATCCTCATCTTTTGGATGATTCGAGTTTGAAACATGGAATTCTCATTAATCCTAATTGTTCCCAGTTTCCTAAAAGCATGTGCAAATGCAGGAGAATAACCACCAAATACAGAACTTGAAACATGCCTGCATAAAAGACACAACAGATATAATAGAAATAAATTGGCAATGCCCCTGGAAAATTTTAGTGTGCATCAGCCATTAGCTCAGATGATAAGACAAATGACAACTTCTGCAAGTTTTCGGCATTTCTCAAGGCCCGTGATAGTGTTTTGGAGTTAAATTACAGAGAATACCATATGGACTTCAAGGCTAAAGCAAAGCAGGTACTTATCTCCGAGTAAGAGACACTTGATACCTTATATTTCATCTGAGTCCGTTGAAAGTTGACTTCACACTTCATAACCTCCCGCTTTTTCTCCTCTCTCTGTAAATAGCAATTACGTAAAAGGAAAACATTCAGCAGACATACAAACAACAGCCCCAAATACAAGTAACTTGATTTTTGTTTTAGGTGAAGGTAAACGCAACAGAGTCAAAATATAAATACCTTAATCAAAGCTTCCAATACTGTTTTGGCTTGATCCAAGTTCCGCCTGATCTGAACCAGATCACAAATATCAAAAGTTAAATTAATTTTAGTAAGGTGGTGCAAATTTTGAATTTAATAAACTACTGTATAAAGGTAAGAAAAAGAAGATCTGCCGACCTAAACAACATCCAGGGAAAACTTAAAACCACATAGAAACTAGCAACATCGCACTAGTACTAAAGCCATAATCACTCCTCCCAAAGGTCCTAAAAAGAAGCCTTAACCATTCCATCAGCATCTCGCACCAGGCAGGTCCTAGACTAAAAGCACGAGGCACGTGGACAAGATGAACGTGATGACCTACTCTTGGAATAGACAGGCAGGTCCCAGACAAATAGGTAACCAAGTGTGCAGTTGGCCATTTTTCACCAGCATGTATTAGGATACAACTAAATTTTTTTTTTTGAGGAAAGGATACAACTAAATTCCCACTCGTTCCTTTGGAACTGCCACAAACAGCATGATCGAATAGGAGCATTAACATCCTCATTACTGAAATTACACCAAGCATTTGTGGGAGTTGGAGTTGGAGTTGGTAAAAATCATTCTCCAGGTTTTTATCAGAATGGCTATCATCATTAGTAAATTTATGTAAAATAAGTGAATAGTGGTTCGCATGAATCAAAGACACGATGTATGATTATTTTGGGATAGACAGTCATATGTTTAGGTTAACAATCTGTTCTCTCTTTCTTCTAAAGAAACCACCATAAGTTCGAGAAAGATAAAGGAAAAAACATAATGAACGTAATACACACGTACAAAAGCATTAAGAGGAAAAAGGAAAACAAGAATAGAAATTTTATAGGTCAAAGCCACTGAGGCACTGTTGGCAATGGTGATCATCGCAAAATTTCATAGGGTTCCAACTATATACAACAGTTCACAAACTTCAGTAATCCAATGCTTAAGTTGGAATCTCTAGGTCACCCTTCTTACTACTAGCAGCTCACATAGCTAATCCAAAGCCTCAAAATCATGCTATGAAACAATGTGGGTCAGTTTCTTTTTCTATGAGTAATGTGGACTAGTTTCAATCGATGAAATTGAAACTCTATAATATATAGTACTGATTGTACACTATATAAAATTAAACCACAAAGTAACCAAGTCATTACCTGGCGGAGCTTCTCAAAGGACTGAACATTATTCTCCCGCCTTTGCATCTACAAGCCAAGTAATTCATTAGAAATTCAAAATCGTGTGAGCCATTTGCACAGGTGCCTTACAAATTTAGAAAATTATGGCAATGCAGCAACAGAAGAAACACAAATCTTCGAACTCGAGCATAAACTTTAGTACATACTCTCCTTGTGTGGAGGCGGTGGGCTTTCTCCCTCGGCCTGAAAACATTATATGGGTTGGTATCATTAACAGGTGGAGGAGGCTGCACAGACACATAAATGCCTTAGAAACAACTGTTCCACAAACAGTTGGAAAACTAAACATCACAAATAGCTATGCAAGTCTAAAGTTAAGCCAACCACATGCAGCACTTAAACATAATATCTCACATGTAGGTTCTTAATGATTGATTTGTGGGAAAGAGATCAACATTAAGATATGCAGGCTTTTCAGCCAAACAATTGTTCTATATCAATGGATACTAAAAAAAATGTTGAAGCAAATATTGTTCCTATTAGTCACCAGGTAAGACAAGAAACTTCAAGGCAATAACTCCATTAACTTCTCGATAATATACTTCTGTGTAGAAAGTATTCAAACTTGTAGTATTTAGATTTGATGAAATTGTAGAGCTAACCTGAAGATGACGAAGTATAGGCCTTTGCCACCGCTCTCGCTGATAACAAAGAAAGATACATGCATGAGATGTATACTGATGATTAAACCACGAATAAATATACACTCAAGGAAAACATATCCATGTGATTTAAAAATAGTTTGTTATGCAGATAAATATCCTAAATAATAAAAAAAATTGTAATAAATCCATTTCAGTACATGAGAATGGGAATGACCTCTCACAAAGAATGAGCATATAATCTAATGATAGCATATGTACTGTGTCAATTGAAAGACAAACCTTGGCTTTCCAATAGTTATAGACAGACTGGAAAATTACATGTCTAATATTCTGAGATTGCAAAGCCTGCATGCATACCAAAAGTGTGATAAGTTTGATGTAAGTAAAGCATTATCGAGAAGCCATCCAGAAATGAGAGGTCATACAATAGATCTCTTGAAGCACAAAGAAAAATCAGATGAGACATTTAACTGCCAGAATGTGCAGAAAATCTTATACCATATAATACCATTGGCAGAAATATCTTTTTAGAATAATATAGCCCTCTATATTTCTGGACGGCCATAATTTTTCTGAAAGATGCTACAATATATTTAAATGGCAAGAGACTCTAGGCAGCAGTGTCGTCAGAGATGAATTAACAGAAGATGAGATCATCATATCATGGGAAATTACCCACAATATCCCTTAAATTTTCAAAAATTGGAAACTTGCCTTTTCTTCCCTTCAAATTCATACCCATAACCTGTTTTAATATCTCCAAAATGATCTTCACGGGCCTAAGCCTTTATGGACCTATTAGATCCGTGAAGATCATGACTTAAGGTCTTAGCTTAAATGAGCACCCAATTCACTTGCTTTGAGGTCTTTACGGACCTAATAGGACCATAAAGACCCCAAGGCACTCCTTTAGGACCTAATAGGCCCCTAAAGGTGTTTACGGACCTGGATAGGACCGTAAACGCCCCAAGCAAGTGCCTACTACACTTGGGGACTTTATGAGCTTAGGTCCATAAAGCCCCAAGGATCGGGGCCTTTATGGACCTAATAGGGCCGTAAAGGCCCTAAGTGAGTTCTTAGGTCTCTAAAGGCCCAAGACTGGGGGCTTTTACAGACTTAATAGGTCTGTAAAGGTCTTTCCGTAAAGGTCTTCGTACATGCACTAGAAAAAAAACACCATTGGGCCTCAAGCTAACATCCTCACTGCCTAATAGGTCCATAAAGGCATGAAGGTCATTTTGGGGATTAAAAAAAGGAGAAAAAATGGGTATGGGAATAAAGTTGAAGAAAAAAAGAGGTAAGTTTCAAATTTTGAAAATTTAAGGGATATTATCGATGATTTCCCTCATATTTCTACGAGAAAGAATACAGATGGGACATGGGAAGGCCTTCAACAAATCTTAGCAATTATCTAATACAAAAAATGAACTCAATGAGTCAATCAAAGACGACTATAACAGATTCAACACATAAAGGCCAGAAAGAAAATTACATAACAAGAAGAAAGAACACTTAAGTTGATATTTTGCAGCAATATTTTATGGGATAAGGCACAGCAAATTTTACAAAAAGAAAGAAGGATTAAGCAACAGTATCTGGTTACTATGCAAGAAGCTTGGAAAAAATAACAAAAGCACAAAAAGATGCTTAAAAATTAAAATAATGGTAAACTATACAGTCTAAATCAGACGATGAAAATCATAGAACAGCATTCAGAATAATATCAGGTAACTATGCAAGAAGCTTGGAAAAAATAACAAAAGCAAAAAAAAGAAGCTTAAAAATTAAAATAATGGTAAACTACACAGTCTAAGTCAGAGATGAAAATAATAGAACAGCATTCAGAACATGGGTACTAATGATTTTAAACTTTCCAGAAAACAAATATGACTAAGACGCCAATCTTGCAGGAGTTAGCAAAAGCTAGGGCGGTATTTGACAAATCCAAGGAAAATGTGGCATGGTGCATAAGAAACATCAGAAAAGCATCAAGCTCCAAAGGCAAGAATCTGTGCAAAATAGTGCAAATCTCATATCTCCATGTCTGCTAAATGGGAGGTAACACTAAAGCTTTTTGTACAAACCAAAGTGGTAAATTAGCATAAGCAAGATATCATTCCCATCAATTTTTCAATACTGGGGAATTTAGTACCAGAGAACCAGAACCCAAGTTATACAACTAATGAACGCATCTAGGTAAAACTGACCTCAGCCGCAACATCCAACTGAACAAGAACAGGGACAGGAGAACCAAGATTGGGAGTTATAATTCCTGCCCTTTCCCTAGTCTTGTGATCCAAAACCTCCAACTTGAACAGAAGATTTTCAAACCTGCATTGTAAACATAGCGCATATTCTTGACAAAAACAGTCAAACATTGAGTGGGTACAGAAAAGAAATGCAATTAACAGGAGAAATAAGAATGTATCCCAAATCCAGTTTGAAGAAATTGATGCCAATGAAGCTATAATGATGAACATGAAAGCAGAGAACAGATGGCAGCTGTTGCTCATGCCATCGTGCGGTTTCCATAGAAGCTTTCCATAGATACCATTCCCCATGCCTTCAAGAAATGATTATAAATTGTTTACTAGGAAATTGAAATCAAATGCTAGTGCTACATAAAATTTAAGACAACAGTGGATAATGGGCACTGACATTGTTTATATAAACCCAGTTACTGGAATGTTTTTACATAAACTTTTATGAATGAATATTATATCATCAACTAGCTGAACACACATACACTCACGAACGCACAAAAGAAATATTTTAAAAAAAGAAAAAAATTAGAAAAGGGAGTAAAGCTTTAGAGCGATTCCACTGGCTTGCTTCTGTGTACAGGAGAAAGAGATTAACAGAGATTGAAAAATCTCTTGGAATTTTGACACTCTTAGAAAGTTCAGGTTTCACTTTTTTGATACTCTTAGAAAGTTCAGGTTTCACTTTTTTGATGTGGGGAAAAAATCACGTATTGAAACAGAAAAACTCGCTGAGTTGACTTGGTCAGTCGCAAAGTTTTGTAAGCGAGAAACTCAGATGTGATTATACATGCATAGTTCCATCCATATATATTCTTGCATTCATACATTTAAATATTTATTGTGTGTGTGTATGCATGGCATGTGTGTGTCTCTATAATATGGTGTTATATTGGCATGCAAAAGGCATTTACCACAGTGGTAGGCGTGCAGGTCTGACTTGGGCTTCACGAAGATTAGAATATCCAAATAGATGCTTCTGTTTCTTTTGTTAACTTTTATAAAATTTGACAAACTCGCCAGATTCCTTTGAAAGCTAATTGTTTGATTCCACGAGTGAACTCAGTTTTGGAATCAACCGAGACGGCAAAGTTTATCAGGCTTTGAAACACTAGACACAATATATACTAGATAATTGAAGCGGAACCAAAAATGACAATTGAAATAACAAAGTTGCCACTGATCCTTCACGTAAAGCACTTAGTGACACAAGGCAGGAGCAGGGGAATGGTATTAGAACATGTAAGTATGTATCTCCCATGCAAAACTGTGTCGAGTTGGTAACTGCTTCATCTTATATTTTGCTTTTATTCACAATGTCTCCAAAATATGAAAAACATATGAAATAGAATGAAATTGCTTTCTACAAATTACTATGTAATAACTAATTAAGGTATTATTACTAAAATAATTAGCAAATTATTCTGCGGCGTTTTACATTAACATTGTAACCAGTTACATTCTATGTAACTTTTATGTAGTATTCCAACTCATTACATTACCCTTTGTAACTTCGCTCAATATCTGCAGAATCAAGCTAAGCGATCCAGTGTGTTTCAATCGGGTGGCCCCAAATTCAACCATGTGTCGTGCATACACTGCAACCGAGCAAGACACCAGTCTAACATCTGGTTACCAGAAATGCAATCTAGAGTCACGCAGCTACTCCCATTTATTCTACTATAGAGGAAGCTGGAGGTAGAGACTGTGGAACCCTCAGTTGATTCTAGCTAATCCCAATTGGGTGGACACAACATGACCAGAGGAGAATTTTATGGTACAAGTGGGTGATATTAGAATTAAATATCAAGTTTACAAAAGCACAATCAACCATCGCAAAGGGCAACCTACTGGATTTCTTAAAAGTTATGGAGAGTAAGGGTCAGTGTGCTAAACAAATAATGCATACTATATCATATAGAGAGGACATCCATAATCCATCCTCAACAAGGGATAGTAGAGATCAACCATTATTCCATTGACATGGATGCAGATTTTCCAGTAGAACAACAATTTGACAACACCACCCAATACTGTATGTGGGGAAGGGTACCACTTTATGCCTGGTATAATTGTACACTACGTGCCGGTATACTTTTCTGAAAATAACATTGTCACAATATGAACTCCACAGATACACTTAATCATAAAATATCGTGAGAGCACTAATATGACATAAGGATGCACCAACTGTTGTGCAGCAGTTTTCCCCGTAGTAGGAATTAGAATGTTCAGTTGAAGTTTAGAATGTTCAATTGAAGTTCACCTTTCGGGTGAAAGAATTTTCCGTTCATTGTTGAACTCCTCAAGCCAATCCTCATCCTCATTGTCCAGATCATACTCAACAAAATCACCAAGCTCTGACCTGGCTGCAAACAGTACTAAAAAGTTTAAATAAATATTATAATCCACGAAGACCTCAAAAGATCTTCAACTAAGTAAGATGTTTAGAAAATGGAAACATGGGCATCTTAATAGATTTACCTCCTCGTCCACGCAAATACGATGCAGGCTGTGTGAATGTTGATAAATAATCTCTTTCATATGTATCCACAACAACAAATTGTGGAATTGGTATTTCAGAAGCAACCTTTTTACTATGGGTTTGTTGTGCCTGCACGATGTAGCTGACATTCATTACTAGCTGCATAGCTTTAAAAATAATTTAAAAGACAACCAATCAAAATAACACCATGCTTACATTTCTATTTCTTCATAGTTACAATATCGGACTCATATCACAAGGACTAGACAAAGTATGTAAGTGAAGACCAACATCAGTTGTGCATTTGGTGATCCATCATACCAAAGCTGTCTTGGCCATGCAACCTATTTTCTCGGTACAAGCTGGCTGTGTTCATACCAATATCTTTGTATATAGCCAACCAAATATATAAATATAAGCATCAAAATAGACAGTTAAATCTCAACAGTTTTTGGGGTTGTCAAATAATTCCTAGAAGATAACAGCACTGAAGTAATGACAATGAGTGACATACATGGACTGTCAGTAGAAGTTTCGCGCTACAACGAAATACAACCATTGTATATCCAATTTGGGGCAGGTCTGTGAGCCACAATATGGCAATTTCCCCATGGGTTGGTGAGCAAGCGACCAATGGTAATAGGACCAAGAGGTTTGAAAGGAGCTCCAAGGGAGGCCATGAACTATACGAAGAAGGTCGCAGAGGATAGCACTGTTAGAGCGGATTAGCAGGAAGAAATGGTAACACTCCATTTGAGACTTGACAAATCCCTTACACCTAAGAGTTGGAATATCTGGTGCATCTGAAAAAATTTCATGCCTCAAAAAAAAAGTTACTCAAAATCCATATTAAGCACTTTGGGTGGCATCCATGTTGAGCTGCAAGGTGTCAAGAGAAAATATGGTCAGGAACTTGTTGGCAGTTGGGACAAATGTTGTTGAGCATATCCTACAGAGTGTTTCCTAGTTAAGTTGACCCTAGCCCATTATAAGGATCAAAAAATATGTGATTGCATCGAAAGGTTACAGAAGGGTGACTTGGATTGCACACCTTATAAATAGAGTAGATCTTCTTTTTTATCATTTTATAAATAGAATAGATGTGCTAGATGTGTGAGAGAGGAAAAGACTTCAGTTCTAGTCCAAACCAATTGAAAAAGTTTGGCTGGGGCCTATCTATTTTCCATAATATTCCCTTGGACTAGCAAGTTTCAAAAAAAAAATTTCCTTGGACAGGTTCCTTATACTATTTCTGAGAAAACAGAAAATCATTTCATTATATATCTACTATCTGCCGCAGTAACACCAAACAAACTCCACTCAAGAAACTGCCCCAATCTACATACCTATAAAAACAATCACAAACAAGTGCCACTAGTTACATCAGCTTGGTGACAGCCAATCCCAAAACCCAGTCTCCACCCCAGGCATCATAGAGGACCTACTCGGTCATCCATCCCAACCTAAGTATTTAAAGCCCTCATGATAAGACCCCCCTCAAAACCTCCACATCCAACATGCACCCTCAAAACTCAAGAAGAAGATAAGCATTTAACGTAAACACCAACAAAATATGGCAATGCAAAGTTTCATGTTACATGAGTTGCGTTCAGTGGATTTCTCAGTTCAGTTATTGGTTCAAGGAAAAGAAGCATGACTTCACAGTAGTTTTCCTTCTTCTTTTTTTGTTGAATGTGACTTCATTCTAGTTTCAGAAGTAAAATATATGTTACCATAGCACTCACAACAAGATGACAAAATCAATGAAGCTACAAAACATGAAGAATTAATGCATGAAACAAAATACAGTTGCAATAATGGCATTGGAACATGCCCAATTATGAATGCGGACAGTTAATTCATCCCTAAAAAAATGGTATTGAATAATTCGACTTCAGGTAGGTAGCAACACTAAAGCAGATATGGCAGTGGGCTCATTCCAATCCATGGAGGCATGTGGCAAGCAATTTCTACAATGAGAAAGATGGTGAGTTTGGAATTGGGAACATTACTTATGCAGATGCATCATTACCTCTCCGTCAGTAATAGCTGCCACCTCCAATGAGTGGCGGGTGGTTATTTGAGAAAAATTGCGCGTGGTACTGGTGTCATCATCTTCAAAGTCCTTGAGAGATTTAATGATGGGAAGCTTCTTGTGGATGTCGAGAGGACGAGGCCTGAATGACAACCTACTACTACTACTACTCATGTCATATCTCCCAATGCAACAGATGGTAACTTGCTGGTCGTCTTCTCATTCCACCTCTCCCATCTCTAAATCCCAGTCAATCAAGTAATGCCTCCTTTGGGTAAAAAAGGGTGGTGAGAGAATGCTAACCTGACCTAACCCACAAAAAGGGAGGAGCAATACATGTACCTAGCCCACAAAAAGGGAGAAGCAATGCATGTACTAGCCCACAAAAAGGGAGGTGCAATGCATGTAGGAAATACTACTTCCTGTTCTCTTAAAAACGAGTTGAGCTCAGCTTAGGAAAACTAAAACCTTGAAGCAGAGTAAGGTGGCTGATAATGTGATTGCAGGTGCCCACCCCATTCCTTCGAAGCATGGGACTGATGCAGCAACCAAACCAGATACTCGTGAATTATGTATCCCTCTGTACTCTGCTCTCTCAACTAGGAGTAGAAGTGGGAGAAGCACGGAGAGAAAGAACAGTCACTTTACATGCAACTCTTCCTTGCTGAATTGGAAAGCACAACTGTTCAGGCTTGTGAAATAAAACCCTGCAGGACTCAAGCAACCCAACGCAACCCAACCTAAATCAGAAGAAGAGAGGAACGATACAGCCCTAAAACTTGCAGCAACCAACCAAAAAAAAAAACCCTAATTCCTTGAGGTTGGGGCTAGGGCTAGGGGCACGGGCGCAAGGAGTGAGAAATTGAGTAGAGTTAATAGTAGTGGTGACACGAGCAAACATTTTCTCACTCTCAAAGGCACTTAGCTTGCTTCAACCTTCAATGCATCACCGTCGTACTACTAACAACAGAGCATGGATTCGTTGGCTTCAAGAAGAAGAAGAGGGTCACTCGAGGAAAACAGCTCTGCCCGAACAACAAATTATTAGACCTTCGCTAACCTAATAAACATTTAAATTCAATTAAATTAGAGAGAAGAGAGCCTGCATGTTGTAATGCTAAGTAGACCCTGTAAATAATTTAACCCCTCCTACCTTTCTTCTCCAATGTTTGTTCTTAGGGGGAAAGTGGAAAACAAAGCGGAGCGCTTCAATTGAGAGTATTGAGTTGCGGACCCGTGACTCGTCGATTCAAACCAGCGAAAGGCGTTCCTCGCCGGATATTCCTCAATTTGAAGTTGAGATGTGTTGACGAGCGTATAATGCATAGAATAGACAAAACCTGTTATTTAGAAAAGGATAAGTGACTTGGATCGGGCATCCAAAAATTGATCTTTCTGTGTGGAAAAAATAGTGAACCAGATAAAATATGTACAAGAACAGTATGAATTGGTGAATTGGCTCGGTTCTCTTTTAAACCCGGATAATTTTCTATATATTGACATAATCGGTACGCGATGACTGATTCTCGCCATTTTCTAAATCACTGGATAAACGTATAAGATAGTATGTCGGTTATGGGATTAGTCGAAAATTTGTATAGGGCCGAAAATGTGCCAGGGAACAGGAGATGAAGGGAGCTTGATTAATTGTGAATAAATAGTTTATTTGAAACATTTGATGGTTAAAAATTTAAAATCACGGGGTCATCATCATCATTTTAACATTTTTCCGATTAACATGAATCATAGTTCTTCATTCTGCTGTATTAAAGACCATATGTCCCCATATCTTTTTTTACTACATCTAAACCCATCATTTTTGGGCCTACCCCTTGCCTTTTTCACTCCTTCCACTTGAACTAACTCGTACCTCCTAACAAGTGTTGTACTTGATCAACGCCACGCATGGCCAACCCACCTAATTCTACTCTCTCTCATTTTATCGTCTATTGGTGGCACGTCTAAATTCTCTCGAATCGATTCATTTCTAATTTTATCCCTGTTTGTCTTGCCACTCATCCATCTCAACATCCTCATCTCTGCTACACTCGTTCTATGGGTATATTGTTGTTTGTTCTTCCAACATTTTAACACATAAAGCAAAATTAGTCTCATTGTTGTCCTATAGAACTTGTCCTTCAGCATCACTAGTACGCGACGGTCACATAAAACTCTAGTTGCACATCTCCACTTCGCCCACCCAACTCTTTGTGAGACATCTTCCTCGTTCTCTCCATTTTCATGGATTATCGATGCAAGGTATCGAATGTACGGTCTTTTTTATACTTCATGGCCGTTGATCTTGACTACTTACTCGTGTCTACTTCTATTATTAGTAAACTTGCACTCCATATACTCTTATTCGGACTAATATTAAAACATTTGAATTTTAAAGCATCCCTCAAAAGTTCTAACTTTATGTTAACATTGTTTCGAGTCTCATCAATCAAGACTATATCATTTGCGAACAACATACACCACGACACCTCATCCTGTTAGTGCTTATGAGAAAGCTATATATCTTGATGCATGCAAAAAACCCCATTATAGAGGTTTCTGACCATCAAGCCATAAAGGCAGTTGATTTTGTTCGATTTAATTGTGGTATGTGGATATATTATTTCTCCTTACAAAGTAGGGAAACTTCTTGCATATTAGTCGTAATAACTCTTCCTTCTTAGTGTCTTTGATTAAAATGATTTGAGGTTTTCATGGGTCTCTCTATTCTTTCTTGAATAATAAATCCTAAAGATATTTCGTCTCGTTCATGAGTGCCTCAAGTTTTAGTGCAGATGTATAAAAAAGGATTATACATGAGGAGACTATTTAATTTTTGTACAAGGAGGTGACAATTATTTTTTTAGCAATCCGAGTTCCAGTAGATTGAAGTGTGTTACAGTATTTTGAGAAATTTTATTTTCGACATTATGCTTAATTAATGACACATCTTCAATTGCCCTATTTTACATTCAGCAGTCAATAACAATTGTGACCTCCTTGTATAAAAAATAAATTGTCTCATTGTATACATTTCTATAGAAAATAGAATAACATTGAAATGAAAGAAAGACTATTGTGATATTGTCGGGGGATTTTTTCTTTTTTTTCTCCTTTTCACCCCTTTTATTTTCTTTTCTTTTCTTTCGGTAAAAGATCACTTACAAGTAGTCTTATTACAATAACTCTTGCTTCAAAAAAAATAAAACTAATAAATCCAATATCGTAAAAACCTTGATGCCATTCAACCAATTTTCTTTAAACAAATAAAATATCCACAATTCTTATGATTGGAATTTAAAGACAATAAATTAAATATGACAAGAAACAAAAAAAAGTAAAAAATTGCCGGAGATTACTTCAACCGGGTTTATTATACCCCTTATTGAGTCACCACCATTCGAAGGCGTGGGATCAATGATCAATCTTCAATCTCAAACTGGGAAAGCAAGTTTAGGCCAAGCCACACCAATGAATCGTGAACTCATTTGATCACAAACTCAAACCCTATGTGAATTCCCTTAACAACCTTGTTTGAGATAGATATTTCTCTTTTCTACCACGACCCTATAGTATAAAAAAACTCAATTAGAGATGAGAGATCATGAGATATACCATAAGAGAGATGACAACTCTCAATAGCCTAAACTCCTTAGGTTCTTTCACAATGTGAGAGAGAGAGATCTCAAAGATGAGAGAGTGGGGCGTGCCCCTTTTGGGATTTCATGACAGAGAGAAAAACTTCTCTTAAGATAGAGAGAGATATAAAGATAAGGTGTATAGATTTTGGGTATAGACAATCATTTTTATAGGCTTCGAACAATATTAGGGTTTCTTAGAGTTTTCATTGGTTTGCCACTGTTATTGAGATTGAATATGAACTATTGATCTTAGGTGATTTGTGGATTAATAAATTTGAGCCCACTATTCCATAGATGGGCCCATCAACATTATAGGACATTTATCCCCCATTCTTAAACTATATTCCCATTAATAGAAATAAAATAAAATAATTTCATTTATAATATAGTGCTTACCAAAATTATCCACAAGTCTTCTTATGATTTTCAAAATCCCTTTGAAGGACTTCTTAAGGCAAAATATTTGTAAAGCACTTCAAAGCTTTCTCTTCAAGCTAAAGCTTGAACTAATACAAGTAAAGTTCCATTAGGGTGGGGTGTGCCACCCTAGGTGATACTTCGTGGGTCCCACCCACATGCAATGGTGGGCCATTAACATATTGGGTCTCCCATACAATATTAAAATTATTAAAATTAATTATATGATTTTTAGAAATCCATAAAACCAAGTTTGAATACTTAAATCAATCTAAAATTAATATGTCTATTTTTATAAATCCAAATTTAATAAATAAAATATCCAAAGATCTAGAAAAATTCAAATAATAATTCTAAATATCATATATTATTAAAACAAACATAATTAAATTCATTTAATGGGAAAATTATCTATCTGGTATAGGAATTAAATAAATAAACGTTAGGCACTCCACCTTCAACTGTGGACTACGGTCTATATTTGTTTGGTCAAACCGACCCAGTGTTTCTCATAACCCACAATGCATGTAAGGGCTCATTAGTGGGTCTCCAAATATGGTCGATGAGCCAAGAGGTCGTAATCTCAGTTTGCGGATTTCAGGTTCTGCCTTATAGACTAGTTAATGTCACCTAGACCTGATGCGACCACTGCTCCTATGACGCATAGGGTTATCTCTCGCACATGCATAAGCTTCACCATAAAATGTGGTTCGCTTTCTCGAAATGGCTATTATTATACATGTCGTGTGATGGATCGTGGATGAGGCTTTGGCCCCCATCTCTGAATGCTACTATCACACACAAGGGTCACACAGTCTCTCGGATCACTTATCCGCTCATACTCCGACCTCATCAAGGGATAACCTATTAGAACCCTTATCGGATAGTTTTTTATACCCAGGTAACATAGATTTTTCCCAACAAGACTGACCTAACACGTCAAACACGGTCTAGTATAAGCAAACATCGTTTGTTTAGTACGGTCCACAGGGGACCACACTCTCACTGAATTCATGTTCGACTATATCATTTCATTTTACAAGCACTCATAAGGCTTTTAACGGCCACACTCACCCAACATCTCCCATTTGGCATTTGAATGTCTTACATTATCTCTTCCTCACTTTCTCTCATCCACATTTCTCTCTCCCAATTACAATTTCTCTCTCAAGCTTTTTTTTCATTTATTCTTTATCAATACATTAATCGTGGCTTTTGTCATCAATAATTTCACAAAAAGACTTATATAGAGGCAATGCCTTTTTCTCTTTGCTGCTCGAATCTCATTCCAAAAGTAGTCGTAGTTCATTTTTCATATCTCATCATAAATCATGGACCTGTTGTCGCAAGAATATCATTATGTACCATCATCACATGGGGTCGTATGTTTATGGGCTTAAAGGAGTTTTTCAAACAAGCCGCTCCCTTTTATAGCTATAAAACCAACGGCACACATTCGGGTTCCAAGGGTGAACAACATTATAGTCTGTTATTCCAGCTGATCTGTCAAATACTAGTAGCTACTCACACTATAATATTTAGTTTATTTGGACCTTTTTGAATCTCACCTCATTCCTCAGATAATATAAACATGGTTTTATATGCTTGGAGTTTTTATGGAATCGTGGCTCCTTTGACATGCGTATCGTCGTCGTGTTGTCACATTAAATCCTTACTGCTTCAAAACGTACAGGGTAAAAATCAAGTAAATTAAGAAATTTATTAATCCATACGGCCTCATTGGCCACCAAATAGCACGCAATGTACTATGCCTCCATGGTGGATAATTCCACTGTATTTTATTTATTTGATTTTCAAGAAACTGTACCCCATCTAAGTATGAACATATATCCAGATATAGACTTCGTATCATTTGGATCAATAAGATAACTTGCATCTATATATGTGAATATCCAAGCACCTAAATGAAATGTGGGACTATAGAAGTTCCCACTCAATAATTGCACATATAATATATACATTCTCAATATTCTTGTACATATATTATGAGGTAGCATAACAAGTCTCTCATGCAATATGTAATTCAATGCCCATTGGTTTAACAATATGCAAAAAACCTTTCTGAACCACAAAGGTTCAACCACACTAGTCGACTTAGTAGTAAATCCATAAAAACCAAGTTATCTAATTAACACAACATGTATCAGTGAAGCTTAGCAATATGGCTTTCTTACAACATTTCCTATGGTTCAAGGTATTAGGTAATCGATGATTCAAAATA